GAGAAGATGTGGTCATTGCTCTACCTGGCGCTCATTCCCAATCTTGGGCCTAGCCCTAGTTTCACCTGCGGTTGTTTGAATGCTCTGTTTTGGATGTCCCCACCAAGGACATGAGCACCTACATATGCATTGCGCGGTTGTCTAGCTGCTGACTACTGTGCACTGAAAGGAAACTAGTGTGATGGCTGGTCCTTAGAAAACAGCCTGAAACAAACCGATTTACTCTCTGCAGATACGCTCTCTGTTAGTTCTCCGGAACAATCTCTTCTGTGAATACCATGCTTGAGCCCGTAACTTCACAGGTAAAAAGCCAGGTCCATTATAAGTATCTTCACTAAGGTTCCTTCTCACACCCAACTTCGTTTCAGGACGCAGCAGCAACAACGAGACGGATGAGGGGTGTGCCTTCAGAAGCACCCGAATGCTGCTGGTGGCCGATGCAGTGCGCATTGCATAGGTTTCACCCAAACTATATCGGTGCATGGTGCTCTTCTGATTGATCCGTCTCTCTTCCTTACCATATTGGAGAATTAAAATGGTATGAATCATGAATTCTCTGTTATGGCCACAAAAAGGCTTCGTCACTCCTGTCCTTGGGGAAAGGGGGTTGCATCCAAGTGAGTGAGCCAATTGCTGTGCCTGGGACTAAGCCCTAGGGAAAGAAGGGGAAGGGGAAGCATGTGAACAATTTTGTGTTCTCCCTGGCGTTTCTCCCTTTGCTGGGCTTAGTCCTATTCTCACCTACCATCGGCGCTGATATGAATGTCCCACCTCCAAGGTTATGAGCGCCAAGGCTCCTAACTAGGTGCATCAGTCTACACAGCAATTTCCGTATAATAACTACACTATGCTGTCCTATTCGATTACGGTTTTACAGCACGGCTGAGAAAATTTTTGAGAAGTTGCCACTTCTGATTGGAGTTCCGTTATGAAGAAAACGATGCCGAGACAGAGAATTTCTTCATCGAGCGCATTTTTACTTGCTATTAAAATGTGGATAAAAACTTGAGAGCAGTGCCCTTTAAGGAAGCCATTACGATAAGGAAAAGCCGCATCACATGAAGCAGTTACTTGGCTGCCAAGGAAGCGAGGTGTGGCGCTTTCACGACGAAAGGTGCCTGGTTGCTGAGCAGGACTTCCGAAGCACTCCGCCCCGAAAGCGTTACGCCCACTAGTTCAGTTGGTGACTTGGCGAGCTGTTTGCTGTTGGCTTTTCATTTTGGAAGATCATTTCCCTTTTAGCGGCTGTATCTTCCAACTTGCCCATGTATGCCTTATCAATCAAAACACTATGCTTGTTGGCATGATGGCGGCTATCGGGGTTAACACGTCCGAACAACTTCTTTCTTTACCGTCGCTCATCCATGGTCGAAAATGAACGGGCAATGGGGGGGGGGTGGTACAAACTTGGAATTCTCTGCTTTTTTCGCCAATAGCGTACATTGAGCACCCCTAGGTCCCCGGTAAACCCCTCCAAAACCCATCGTAATCGCTCCCTTTAATTCGGTGGGTTAACAACATAAAAGCAGCATATGCGTCGATTGGGGGAAATGAGGGGAAGCACATGGTTAATGCCATTCTGATAGCTTATCTCTTCTAAGAATTCGTGTGAAGGGCTCTGCCCAAATGACGTCACTTGAAAATCGATTGGCTGAGACCTTCATGTTCACAATCTGCACCTAGAAGACCTTCTACTTGAGAAGCTAATCAGCCCTAAAACCAGGAGCATTTTTCGCTGATAACGACGCCGTTTTACCGGAATGATAGGAAGAACGTCACCTATCGTTATATAAAGAGAAGCAACAAATTTATGACCTGCAATTTTTCGTCATGAGAGCTGTCGTGGTCGTCGCTGCTCTGCTACTGCAGAGCACTGTCTCTGCCTTCGTTATTCCTTTCAAACTAGCCGCCGTGACCAATGTTACCACGGGAGGGGCAGTGGTAACTTTTTGGGACGTTGTTCATGATAGTTTTCGAAATTATGTTGCGTTTTTAGCTTGAACAAAACACTCAAAGCTTCTTCGTCGCGAACATAACCGTCGGGACTCCACCACAGTTGTTCACTGTGATCATTGACACTGCCTCGGCCGACTTCTGGATTCCCGACAGCACTTGTACCACATGCGGCAACAAAAGACTCTTCAACAGGTACGATACATGACTATCAAGGTGCCCTATGCCTCCGAATATATTGAAGCCCAACGGCCACAGTGTCAAAAGTACTCATCCGCACTACCCATTTCGTGGAACTTGGTGGAGAGAAGCCCTAATACAACTCAAGGCTGCAAAACAAAGCATTCCAGTGGAAGTTCATCCTCATGGCAAAAGTTTGGTCGAACATTCATGGCTAGTAATCATTTCGGTGTGACAGAAGGATTCTTCGGAAAGGATACGTTGAGAGTGAGTTATTTTGATTAACACTGATTCATATTTTTAAAGAAATTAGCATTAGATTGATAGGAAGTTTCTTTTGATTAACATCGATTTACCTTCTTGAAGGCACAACCCAGGCAGAAGTCGTGTGAACGATCCCCTTCGGTCTATAGGGAGTTCCCTAGTAGACAATCAAAGATGTGGCCCTGCTGTGCATGGGACTCGTCCGACAAGGACGCTAGGGCCTTACAGAGTAAACTGCAGCATAGCTGCAGTATTCTCCGTTGCTGCAGGCTGTTGTTTGGGCCCTCCCTGTAGCATTCGCCTGCGATGGGATGCACCATGCCTGCGTCCTCAGCTTCAAATTCGCGTAGGCATTAGAATTCCACGCTTTCTTCCTACGGCCGCGCACCTTCATCGAGATTAAAGGACGAATTCACGCTGGAAAGGCAACCCATTTCAAATTAATTAGCGATGGTGAGTGGTACACTAAAGAAGGAAAAACCATGAGAAACGGCCCAGAACCCGAGAAATGGGACCCCTTCCTTGCCCGTTGATTTGAGCATTGATGCGACTATCATCGCTGTGCCCTCTTCAACACTACGCTCTCTCACCTATCTAATCACTCGCCACGTATAGACCTGCGGCGAGTGATCAGATGATCGGCGTGCACTGCCACCGCGCCAAGATTGAGCCTTAAAGGTCGCCGAGGTCAACTCCTTCGGTGCCAATTGCGCTTCAGTCCGCACCCTCAGGAGGTCCGCGGGTCCCTCAACTAGGAATTACTCCTTCTTCGACCTTTCATTCTAATCGTGAATTCGTCCTTTAACAGGACACCCTCACGATTCCCACAGCGCTTAGCTACGTCTTACTGATCATCCGCGCTTACGCGCTCCCCCCTGATCCGGGCCCCAAACACGAACCTCATTTGATACACACTACCACAAACTGGCGTCCGCGTACGTCGCCCTCGCAATGCACGTATTTCTCGCACGCTCACGGCACGGTGCGCGACCTTCCTGTACACCTGCATCACCTCGTAAACTCATCTGCCCCATGTCGGCGACGCTTCTGACATCCAGTAGTACGTCCCTCATGGTACAAAGTTTCACAAACCATGTTTACGTTTTTTGAGGCCCACTATATCGAAGGCTAGGGGTCCAACTGACTGCAATATCTCTATAATCTATTTATTCTACATAATCTGTGCTCTTTCTATTATTCTCTATTGTAATTGTAACCATTCTGTAGCCAATTATTCTATAATCCCTGTACAATAGTTATATAAATAAATAACGTAATAACTTCGTATATTGACAAACTAGCGTCGCGTACCGGGCTCAGTATTGCATGCACTCCTGGCACACCCCGTAAACGTATGCTTGCCCATATGTCCCACCTCAAGCCAGGGAACTTCTTCGAGTCGTGATACATTTGTGAAAGCAACCCAGATGGTCCGACGCTTCTAAGTGGTAGTAGTACATCTAGCATGGTACAAAGTTTCACAAATCATGCTTACGTTTTTTAAGGCCCACTACATCGAGGGTTCAGGAGTCCAACTGACTGCAATCCTTTTAGATATTGCACTAAATTTTGTTTTAAGCTCGCCACTGACGACCGGGACATGATTGTCATTCCTACCGCGGATATCGGCCAAGTCCTCGAGTTGCCCGCGGCAGTGTCTGCACTGAATGGAGTTGATGGTGTTCTCGGCTTGGCGTTCCCGTCCGTATCCAGCGACCGTATGACTCAGCCTGCTTTTATCAGAGGAGCAGCTCAAGGTAAATTCAAAGAATCCCAGTGATAAGTTGATTACCTCGAAATGACTTACGCCTAGATTCTGATAGTGAGTCAGAAGAGAAAAACAGCGACAAAAAAGGTTTTCAGTTGCTTCATCACTATGCACAAATATTATAATAGCTGCCTCACAATGGTACACTCTGAAAAAACCACTTTTAGGTGATATTGCCCAACCGATTTTCTCGATATGGCTTGAAGAGCAGTGGCAAACATCGGACAATGGTACTCACGGTGTCATTTACTATGGTGGTAGCAGTTGATTACACGACGAACAGGTCACCACTTGATCCAATAAAGGCCTGTCTGTCTACACCTCAAAAAACAACGCGGTAACTCTTTACTGCATCATTTTTGCACATCGGGCATTGTAAGCAAGATGTATGCACACGCCATTAATTATTTTTGTACATATTCTCGTTTCTTCCAGACTTTCCTGTTCATTTATAGATAAAAAATTTATTAGATAAAAAGAATATGAAAAAGTATACAATCTATCTGAATGAGAAGCCATATGTGTTTTGCTGAAAACGACACTCCAAAATAATTTTGTAACCACCAAAGCGAATGCAAGTGAAATCTTCCTTTTTCGTAGCCATAACGCATCATTCGACCGAATTTTTACAATTATACCTTCCGATAAGTTTACGCATCGAGTACCATAGAAAACATTTTGTCCCATTCGTGGCATTGCAATTACAGCTTTCAATTCCGCCGAATTTGATGTGTAGGCGCGGCGCTCGCAACCCCTGTTCTTGGCCCCAACGTGTCAAAAAGGCAAAATCGCGGCTGTCGTCAACGTGTTAATGGTACGCGTTCCTTGAGTTTTCAACTTTTAAACCCTTCCAGGCTTCGATCTCGTGCACTGCCGTCCCAACCGCAGTTTCGTGCAGCTGTCAGCAGCCCGCCTGTTCCAATTCACTTTGTCAAACCTTTTCGTAAATAACATGGGAGTAGCCAGGAGGATTCAGGTGAGCGTTCTTCGTCTTATCAAACGCGATTTGTTCATAAGCAGCCTTCACAGTGTTAAGACAACAGGCATCTTTTGGCACAACAACATGTACAAAATGTCAGAGCTCTGTTTCAGACAGTAATCACATCTACATCTCCATACATCAAAGTGCCGTCCGCCACATTCATGCGGATCTTGGACGACCTCAACCTAAGCTACAGTACTCCGCTACCCGCACAGGCAAGATCTTTTAGGATTTGAGGTGGGATTACACTAGTTTCAGTGATCTATTTCAGGTGGACTGCAACACGAAACTGGAGCTTGATTTCGATGTCGGTAACAACGTGCTGTTGAAGGTCAATGAACGCAATCTGATTCTGAGTAATAACGATGGCACGTGTACATTGGCCGTGATGCCTACGGATGCCAACGTTTCGATATGGGACAGAGCATTGAACTCGGCATTCCTTTGACGCTGTACCTATCTTTACTACTCGCGGGATGTGGGGCGTATGCAAGCGTTATTCGCTGATCGCTAAACAACACTGATGGTTTGAATAGAGAGTAGATCTTAGCCGAGCTTTGAGATGGTTATATTATTATTGACTAATATAAACCTTTTTTCTTCCTGTTCCGAACTTGGGCACGGGGGGTGTAGGGATAGGCAGGCTCGAAAAAGCAAGCTAGCTCTGTCGTTTTTTTTTTCAGACTGAAGCATGAGTTTCAATTAGGAAGGACAGCAGTGTGCATTCCTCACTTTCTGTCCTTCCTCGAAAACGCGAACCCGCGTGCAAAACATCCTATTCAGTGAATGGACCCACTAGCACGGAGGGTGATGCAGCGTCTTGCTTAAACTGCATGAGGACGACCGAGAGTCTTTTCGCCTAGTTTTGAAAACCCCTTAGGGAGAGGTTCTTTACTTTGTCAAAAGTGAGGAATAGCGGATACAGAAAAATCCGTTTCACTCGCTTCTTGCTTCTCGTCTCATCGTGAGTTAATCGCTCGCCCTGGCGCACATGTCCCTTGCCACATGCTCCTGCAATCTCCAAAACTAGCTAAAGAAAAGGGGGCTTTATGTAGGGCGCTTCAGACAAGTGTCCCAGCTACTGTTCACTAGGAGTTCCACTATCCAGCTATTGCTCGATTCGAATGGTTCATTCCCCCATGAGCATTCAAGGCAGCGATTAAGATAGTACTAGAGAGCTTCACAGGGTGCGTCGTGGTGCTCAATGGTGACCAGTGGCGAAAAAGAACAGAGAAATCCGTCAAGAAAACACAAAACGGGACCCCCTTTTTCGCCGTTGGTTTTCGCTCATGAGCATGGGCAATGGCTCAGACAGCGGACATATGAACGAGTTTACCGCAACGCGTTCGAAGCGCACGATGCAATCCATATTCCAGTCAAGTTGTACCACTTGTGCAGCTGCTAGCAACACAGCTCGTCCAATCTCCTCATGATGGGTGAGCGCTTTGGGTGAGCGCTTTCCAGTACATATTCTCAGCAACCAGTTGACTTCCGCGTGAACGCCCACACCTCGCTTTTCTCTAGTACCTTTTACTTACTTTGCTTTCGTAGCCAGAATATTCCCCAATGTGCTCCTTTTTTATCGTAATCGTCTCAAAGAAGCGGATTACGGTAATGCTTGTGGCATCGATGACAGTATAGCATAGTATTGAAGATGTAATTCTAGGGCTTGCCTCTGAACAACATGCTTTTTTTTCGTATTATGCCAAAACAAATACAAATAATAAATTTGCTACATGAAGAGGAGGTATGAAGAGGTAGAAAACAGAGGACTTCTTGAGTTGAAAAAATCGGTCACGAATGGAAAGAATCGGAAATTAAACAAGCAAGAGCCACGTTCGTAGGAACAACTTCGGTGATGAGAATGAAGTTTTGAAAAAAAAAAGGAATTTAAGAGGTAACACAATGGAATCCACTGAAAAGATATACATATTATCTTCATCACGAAAAAAAAGATTAGGATATTGCATTGAAACCTAATATGCGAAACACAGTTTCAAGCAGTCTACAACTTCGTAAACAGGAGTATCGATGTGGTCGAGTGGAAAAGCTGTATGAAATGTGGCCGATTGGCTAAGATAATGCTGACGGGAAAAAAAATAGGTTAGTGCAATCTACTTAGCAAAGTCACTTCTTACTGGAAGAAACTACCCTCGAGGTACAGGTTTCTTCTTCGACTACGGTAGTCACGGTAGTTTCATCATCGGAGTCGAGGAAGAAACCAAATCACGAGCAAACCGCTAAGAACAAGAAACTCTACATTCTCAAAAGCATTTTCTACTAAGATTGAAGGCGATAGTAGTGACGCAGAACCGAAAAGGTCGACGGAATCAGCTGCGACATAGCCACTGCACCTCCTTTCGATACTTGAAATAATTGAAAGTGAGAGAAGCAGGAAGCGCTCAAAATCTTCTATGCCTTTTATGCTAATGAGATGATATAAATCTCTGTAATCTTCTCAACGCCTTCGCAAATCGCTTACGAGGACCACCAAAAAAGTTACTTTTTCTTCCGCCGCCAACCCTGAATCAGACAAATGTGGCTAGACACTAACTGGTATTCTTTTAAAGCGTAGACAAATGGCCCAAATATCAAATTACTCTGTAAAGCCCTCAGTACGAACGATATCTCTCGATTTTTGCCAGGTAACATGATTCCGGATTGCTGGAGGGTCGCTCGTAATCGAGGCAGTAATGTACCGGCGATGACACGTGCTATAGCGTCGTTGTTCAGAGTGAAGGGTGTGAGAGATTCGTAATGAGAGCCACGAGCCCCTGTACAATACCTACCAGAGACTAGGTCGATGAAAACACATCAGGTTCAGACTGGAGAAATTGAAATTACTTCCTTAAAGGAATCTTGCGCGGAAAAATCATGATTCTATTTCAGCCATAAATCACTGGCTTGAGACTCATTATCCACGATAATAATGAAAAGAACAGAAATATTGTTTTTTCGAAAAGGCTGCTACGCGTTCAAAGTGCCCACGGACGTCTTTCACAAATGCTGGCGACGGGGATGCTTCCACTTGGTTCTTGGAGTGCCTTCACTAGAAACTCTTTCTGGCCTTCTGCTTTATTGCATTCACATCTTACACTTCTACTCCATCCTATTCTATCGATCGATTTGTCTCTACTCTCCGAAATCGCGCGCTTTAACCCGATTCTTTCATTGCGTCGCCGCCAAAGCCAACTTCTTCCATGCCTCG